TCAAAATTGATAGGCATTGCTTACTTTCTTCTTGGGGATTGGATAACATTCAAATATGAAATATAAAACTTTAAAAACCATACACAGAATTAAGTAATAATTAGTATACACTCTAAAGCCTGAATCAAAATCCACCTCCTTCCCTTTTACTTCTTTTTCATATATATAAATTACTTTATACCTCTTTAGTAGGTATAATTGTTGCCAGTCTGTATATGAGAAAAGTTGACATCAACTCAGAGTCAAAGTTGAAATTAAAACAGAATAATCTATAGATTCTGATACATTCTGTGCATTGGCCTGTGCATGTCTGATGAATCTATGCTGAAAAGTATAGTACAATTACCAGCAACACGAGGAAAATGTGTGCAATGACGCTTCTGACGCTTTCTGCAAAGGGCACGGCAGGCATTTGTCTGAGCTTTCCCGTGAAGTAAGCTCACTTCATCATGTATGCACAATTGCTCCCGTGATCCCAAAACTACCATCTTGGGCCTGTATTATCCTCTAGCGTTCGGAAAGTCAAAATCCAAAGTTCAAAAGCCAAAGTATTGAGTTCATGAAAACATCTAAATGATTAATTGTCTACTAATACCTCTGAAGATTCTTTATGGAACAAGCATTTGATTCTCATGGTTAAGAACTTATAGCGACAATGACTGACAAGACTCAAAAGTTCCCTCAAATATGATATATCACATCAAAAGGTTAGAAATCTGCAGTATCTTCATCTTTCTCTTTCTTTTGATAAAAGGCAAGCAAATTTTTGCCATATTTAAGAAGCGAATACAAGATATTCAAATGATGTTTATCTGTTTCTAAACAAGCAATCTTTCACATGCATACTCATTAAAAAAAAAAAACAACCTAGCAGATTGTAGATAAATTTAAGAATGAGTCAAGTTAAAACATATAGTGAAAAGATTGTTTAGAAATACAGCAGGTTTTTATATACTCCAAAGCAACTCAATTCAGATTGCAAATTAAGAAAATAGTTCAAACAGCTAGGGCTGAGCATAAGTCAGTGCAGCAAGTTTTGGTCGCGAAGGAGGCCACAACCAACCAGCCGACCAGGGTGGGGGGACCAACCACCATCAACCGATGCAAGGGAGGGAACCGACCAAACCGCGACCAACCACAGTCAGTCGGTTATGTGGTCGGTTAGATGGGTTTGGGCTTAAAGGCCCAAGGCCCAAGCTGTAAAATTGGTAGCCCATCTGACCCAACCCAGCCCAATTCCAAGGTGAAAAAAGGTAGCCCAGCCCATCTAATTTATTTTTGAGTAAAAAACAATAAGTTAACTTACGGTTGTGGTGCGGTCAGGGAGAGGAACTGAGCTAAGGGAGTGAGGGTTAGGTTTAGTTTAGGGTTTCTATTTGTGGGGTGCAGGCTGTAGCTGG